CATTATTACTCACTTATAGCTTTGTTTTCTTTATTTCTTAGTATTTAAAATACTATCCGATATTCATTTTGTCTTTATTTTACTTCTATATTCTTTTTGTATTTTGCTTTAGAGATTACCAAAATTAGCCAAGATACAGGTTCTTTATCTTACTTTTTAAATTATCGTAATGATCTTTTTTATCCCATTTTTTCCCCAATGATCTTTCCGAAGTCCCTCATATAACTACTGTTTTAGAATCTGCAAATAGCTTTATATATATATGCTGGTTTATATACTAATTCTTATAAGGAGTAAGTATTGTAATTATTTGCCTCTTCTTCTCTTTAGAAATGGACCAATTATGACAAGCTGTAGTGCTGTAACGTGCCTGATGGGATGTGTTCAGTCATGGCATCCGAACTTTGTAAGACAATCTCTGTGGCAAGACTGGAAAAGCACAAGAATTTGTTCTTGAATTATAGGAATCTGCATCATTTTCCATTGGAGTTACTGAAAGATGAGGGATTACAGTACTTGGAGAGACTCTATATGAAAAGGAACTCCCTTACAACCTTGGTATAGTATTATATTGCATGTTAAAAAATTCATTTATAGGTTTGGTCCTGAGATATTCAGATAAAGATCTATTTCCTTCTGTTGCATAAGTAGTAGCATAAATACACTTAGTGGGTTCTCTAGAATCCATGGTAGTTTAGTGGATTGTGACCTCAAGGTCAGCAGTTCGAATCAAGTAGCCTCTCTGCAGGGGAAAGATGAGGCTTTCTGCTCCCATAAAGATTGACAGCCACAGAGTCACCAAGAGTTAAGAATCTATTCAGTGACACATAACCACCAGCACCACCACCACCACCCCGACACACACACACGGGGTTCTCACTAGCTGAATATTCATTATCAAAATCCCTACAGTTAGGAAGTTGCTTGAGAAGTTGTGTTGGAAAGCAAAATACTTATTAATGGTGACTCATAAAATTAACCCCCATTTAAAAGCCCCTTTTCCTTTATCATATGAATTTCTGTAGTGGCCCATGCTTGCTTTGTTTGTTAGGTTTATCACGTGGTATTTGGGTGTTATAACATTTAGCAGATCAATTAAAAAGAAGAGAAAGACCAACAAAGATGGCTTTGAATTCTAGGTGTTTTAGAAGAGAATGGTTTGAAGATTAAAGTTTTATGACAGGCATTTGGGAAACAAAATAGAGAGGAACTTGGAAAGCTTGATGTAGCCTTTGGAGTCCTGGTGTGGCGCTGTGGGTTAATGCACCAGACTGCAAAGTCATTTGAACTGCAAGGTTGGCAGTTCAAGCTTACCAGCTGCTCCTCGGAAACCCTATACAGGGTCGCTATGGGTTGGAACTGACTCGACGGCACTTAACAACGACAACAACCACAACATGTAGCCTTTGGGAAAAAGAAACAGAAAACAAACCAAAATCGACCCCCTGTATGATTGCACTATATAATCAAAGGAGTCCTACTTAACCTGCTAACCACAAGGTTTATTCAAACCCACCAGCCAATCTGTAGTCCCCTTAGAAATGTATAGCCCTGGAAACCCTATACAAGGTCACTGTGGGTCAGAACTCACACCATAGCAATGGGTCGGTGTGAGTCAAATGATTTTGAATTAGATTGTCATACAAATAGTGGGAAAATTTTGCCACAAAAGCAACATTTGATTCATTCTTTTTATATTCTAAGAATAAGCACCTACATTTATTACATAGAAAATAAAATACAAAACCTTTAAGAGAGTATCTTTATCAAACCTTTGGTTCTCATTTCTTGTGAAAGAAATTCGGTGTCTATTTTAAATGGGTTTACTTTATGTGTCAGTTAACCTCATTTGAAGCTTGTAATTTAGTTCTAATTCTTAAAAACTAACCAAAAATATACGAATTCCAACATATTCATTTTAGATGCTTTGTAATAATATTATTATTTCTTTGTGAATTGGCCCGTTCTTCATTCTCTTCTCTTTATTGGACTCTGCTATCTGGAAAGTATATTTTTGGAACACTTTCATGGAAAAAATTCATTTAATATATGTCAACTAACTACATACAATGAGTAGCAAGCATACAATTTGCCATATCTGGAAGTAAATACAGCATTTAACAACAACATACGATGTTAAACGATGCTCAGAATGACTGGTAAGCAAACCTTTTAAGTTCACGCTCTGTTGTTGGTGTTACATGCTGTCCAGTAGGTTCTGACTCATAACTACCCTGTGTAGGCTTTCTGCGGAGTGGCTGGTGGGTATAACCGTTACCTCGAGGTTCAGTGCATTATCCTGCAGTGCCACACCAGGACTCCAGTTCAGGCTCTTGTTGCTGTTGTGGAGTACCATGGAGTTGGTTCCGACTCATAGCGACCCTGCACACGGTTTCCGAGGCTGCGAATCTTTACGGGAGCAGAAATCCTCATCTTTCTCCTGCGGAACAGCTGGTAGTTTCGAACTGCTGACCTTGAGATTAGCAGCCCGATTCTTATCCATTCCCCTACCAGAGCTCCTTCTACCACCTTTTAAATCATCAAATATTACATTGTTGCGTATATTTTAATGATATGTGTATCTGTTTTATTTTAAGTGTTTTCTCTTAACTAAAACATATGATTCCTGTGCCTCACAGAGTTTGATAATAGATAAAATGCTCTACATGTTTCAGGGGGTGGTGATGACAGTATCAGCCATCCAATCAATGCTGGATAAGACAGCTTGCTACATCCTTTTTTTTAAAAAAAGGAACAATACTTACTGTAGAGTGCTCTAAACAAGTGATTTAGGACTTTGAGAATGTTTACTTGTGTTATAGATAAAATAGTTTCTGAAGGTGATTTGACATACAACTGACCAAAGGAAAATAAATTTGTGGGACACATAGTATCTCAAACACATAGGTCAATCACTTTTCTTTTAAGAAGCTTGGGAACCTGTCAATCATTTCCAAATTGTCCTGTGGTTTCTTATTAACTTTTTTCTATTGTGCTAAGTCCCCTCCTTTTAATATTCTCTCTCTCCTCCCAGTACACACTAACTAAAGCCTTTTGGTGAGAAGGGAATTACTCAATACTGTGCAATCTGCCCTTCTTCCTTTTCTTCTTCAAGTTGCAGAACTTGAGGGATGCCTGTATTTAAGATTGAAAACCAGGGAAAAGCCTTTGTATCCATTTGGAAGAGGGAACTTCAGTTTGTTTTCATTTAATGAACATGCTGTTGCTAAGTGCCATTGAGTCGGTTCTGACTCATAGCAACCCTGTATGATAGGTTTCAACTGCCAATCTTGTGGTTAGCAGTCCAATGCTTATTCCTCAGTGCCACACTGAGATGCCAGTTAAAGAAATACGTTGTTGTTGTTAGGTGCCATTAAGTTGGTACCAACTCATAGCGACCCTATGCACAACAGAATGAAACACTGCCTGGTCTTGGGCCAACCTCACAAATGTTGCCACATTTGAGCCCATTGATGCTGCCACTTTGCCAGTCCACCTCGTTGGGGGCGGTCTTCCTCTTTTTCATATATTGTCTCTCTTTCATATTACTCATTTCTTTTCTGTGCGGTAATGTTAATAGTTTGGTTTTAGCCTTCCAACCCTTGGCTTGTGTTTATGTAATTATATAAAGCTTTATTTTTATGTTGGCATGTGGTTTGTTTTCCTTTTTAAAACAACAAAAATAGAGTACTATATATACTGATATGGCGCTGTGGGTTAATGTGCCAGACTGCAAAGCCATTTGCACTGCAAGGTTGGCGGTTCAAACTCACCAGCAGCTCCTCTACAGGGTTTCTATGGGTCGGAACTATCTCGACAGCACTTCACAACAACAACATACATACTGAAACTCTCCTTTCCACTTCAATGTATTCCCATTTCACTGACCTCTAGACCAGTACGTATACTTACATCATTGTATGTGTGTGCGCATGTGCTGTGTTTAGGATCAAGTCCCTAAGGCAGGATGGTAATATGTTATTGAGCACTCTTACCATTTTTTTAATATATAACTGAGGGATCATTAAAATATTAAACTTAGTGTATATTAGTTTTCATAGGAATCCAATTATGTAATTGATGGGCAAAAATGAAATACCTAAGAAACAATATGATTTTGGTTTCTAACATCTATTTAGAATTTTTTTGGTAATTAAATACAATTTAAGAAATATTCATTGAGTTTCTGATCTTTATGATAATGAGAAGATTAATAAGAATGGAAAATATATGTTTTGTGTTTGGAATATGTAAAAAGTAATTGTTTTTCTTTCATGCTATTCATTTCTAGGTATTCACATAGTGGTTGAATGAATAAATAGATAAACATGAATAATGTAAGGGCTAGAGCATAGGTGTAATGTAGTAGATTGCAAGCTGGGCTGTTAACTGCAAGATCAGCAGTTCAAATCTACTAGATACTTCATGGGAGAAAGATGAGGCTTTCTACTTTCATAAAGATTTCCAACCTTGGGAACCCCACACAGGGTGGCTGTAAGTTGGAAGCAAGTTGCCGGCACACATCCACCACCACAGCATAGGTATAAGAGTCACAGACGGATAGTCTCCTAGGCCTAGAACTGTGCCTTAACTTCTCTCTCTCTAGTGCCTAGCCTATTGCCTCTATTTGTAGGACACACAATATGAACAGGATATTGGCAGGTGGGGAAAAGTGTCATTCATTCATTCAACTCGTGTTTACTGAGTACTGACTATGTACCCAGTACTGTTCACTGAAGCTGGATGCATTATGGAACAAATTCGTACTCTCATGGAATTGTTCTTTGTTGCCATCCCAAGTTCAAGACAAAAATGTAAAGTAAAACTGGCAGAAAGTTTGAAGAATAAGTCTAGGGGCCTGTTTGGTATTTCCATGTGTTTCTCAGAGCCTCAGGTTTCCTGAGCGGTGCTGTGGTGAGGAATTATGGACAGGTGCAAAGGGAAGACAAAGCAGGAGACTCTCATGCCTTTGACCAGAATACTTGCCTTTTGTTGCTTTATTATGCTTTGGTGGTCTACACAGAAACCCCACAGAGGGATATACAGAGGAGACCTTTAGAAAATATATTCAAACCCAATTTAATGCTGCCATTTAAAAAAGAAATTTCGTTAAGTAAAATAGATGCAACAGAAGCTATTCTTCTACAGATCTGGAATCATTAGAGTTCACAGAATGAAGTAGTAAACCACTGATATAGTGCAGAGTTTGTGAAGGGGAGGAGGAGATCATACTGAGATAAGAACTGTACATTAGGCCCTGGTCATGTTGAATCTTAAATAACTGGAAGTTAGAGAGTTACAGCCTTTCTTCACTCATTAACTATCTTATTATCCAACATGTCACATTTATGAGAATAATAAAAAAATTGACTGACTATTTTGCACATTATATACAGTTTATGAATGCCAAAGTGCATGGCAAGGGTAACATTGGCTATGATGGTAAAGATTATATGTCAATTTAGCTGGGAACTTGGAAGCTATATAATGATGTTATTTGGCAGTTATGTAATAATACAGTCATCCTACATTTTGTGATCTGATGTGGTCGTCGTCCA